ATTCTGTGAACAATGATGTTGGTACTTTGATAGTAATTGCATTGAATCTATAGATTATTTGAGTAATATGGTCATTTAAATGATATTGATTATTCCAATCCATGAGTATGTTCTTCCATTTTTTTGTGTCATCTACAATTTTTTTCATCAGTGGTCTGTAGTTTTCTCTGTATAGATCTTTCACTTCCTTGATCAAATGTATTGCTGGGTTTTTTTGTGACTACTATAAATGGAAGAAAGTTCTTGATTTAGTTCTCACTTGAACATTGTTGGTATATAGAAATACTACTGATAAACAAAATTGACAGACTGCTAGCTAGACTGACCAAGGGAAAAAAAAGAGAGAAAATCCAAAGAAGCACGATGAGAAATTATAAAGATGGCATTACAATTGATAACACAGAAATACAAAAGATCATTAGAGACTACTATAAACACCTCTATGCACACAAATTACAAAAAAGTGGATAATTTCCTGAAAGCATACAATCTTTCAAGAAAGCTTAAAAGAGAAATCCTGAACAGATTAACAGGAAACAACTGAAATCCTAACATACCAACAGGAAAAAAACTGAAATCCTGAACAGACCAATAATGAGTAAGTAATAAAATAAAATCAGTAATAAAAAACACCCAACAAAAAAGCTCAGGATCAACAGATTCACAGCCAAATTTTACCATACATTCAAAGAAAAGCTGGTACCAATCTTAGAAATTATTTTTAAAAATTGGAGAGGAGGGATCTCTCCCTAACTCATTCTATAAATCCAGCAGAGCTGGCACCAATCTTAGAAACTATTCAAAAAAAATTGGAGAGGAAGGATCCCTCCCTAACTCATTGAATAAATCCAGTATCATCCTGATACCAAAATCAAACAAGGGCAAAACAAAACAAACTACAGGCCAATATCCTTGGTGAACATAAATGTAAAATTATCAACAAACCAAACCCAATAGCACATCAAAAAGATAATTAATCTTGTATGTGTTGAGAACTTTTCAAGATTTCCTTTTTGTCTTTGATGTTTGATAGTTTGGTTATATGTCTCAGTAGCAGCCTGAGTTCAGATTAGTTGGACTTGATTAAGCTTCTTGAATTTGAATGTCCATTTCCGCAGTGCTAGTCACAATAACAAAAACATGGAACCAATTGTGCTGCCCATCAACTGGCCCATGGACTGGATTAAAAAATGTGGTACATATACACAATGGAATATTATGTAGCCATAAGGAAAGACAAACATATGGACTTTGCAGCAACTTGGGTGGATTTAGAGTCTATAATACTCAGTGATATATCACAGAAACAAAAACCAGAGTAGCATATGCTCTCATTCATCAGAGGACCCTGAACATTTTCCCTAATACTGTAAGAAAGGGATTGGCAGTAACGGGATACTGCTGGGTTGGGGCTGGGAACATAGTATCAATAAGGGTGCCTGATCTCGAACCAGGCAAAGTGGGGACCAAAGGGAGGCCCAAAATTTACCTGCATGATGTACTGAATTGTACTTTACATTTTAAAAATTAAATAACAAAAAAGAATATCTATTTCTTTTTTCAGATTTGGGAAGTTTGGGGCTACTATTTCTTCAAATAAGTTCTCTGCCCCATTCTATTTCTCTTCTCTTTAAATTCATACAATGTGTATATTGGTGTACTTGAAGGTGCCGGGTGTCGGGTGAGTCCCTTAGGCCTTCTTTTCTTCTTTATTTTTGTACCTCAGTAATTTCAAAAGATCCATCTTTGAGTTTGCTGATTCTTTCTTCTTCCTGACCAAGAATGTTGTGACACACTCTAGTGACTTTTTCCAATTCAGATATTATATTCTTCAGCTTGAGAATTTCTGTCTATTTTTAATAATTTTGAAAGATTTGTCATATTATTATTTTGTTCACACATCATTTTCCTAATTTTGTGTGTTTTTCTATTTGTATTCTCTTCTAATACATTCAGCTTCTTTAAGAAAATTATTTTGAATTCCTCATCAGATAATTCACATATCTTTGGTTCTTTAGGATCAGTTTCTGGAGACTTACTTTGTCCCTTTGATTGGGACACATTTTCCTATTTCTTTATATGCTTTATTATTGTTGAGTTTGCCTGTTAAAAAGCAACCACCTCTATATGGCCTGGATTTGTACAGAGGAAATCCTTCATGAATCAGCTAAGGTACATATTTTGAGGGTCTCTCAAACCTTTTACTGGATATATGTCTTCTTTGGGCTTGTGCATGCAATTCCCATTAAGTTTGGCAGCTTGTTTTTCAGAGGTTTGTAGTCCTTTGCTGCCTCTAGTACCTGTCTAGAGTACTGCAGGTTCTCTGATGCTACACTAAGCCAATGAACTCACTTTTGGTCATAGTGGTTCCCAGGCATCCAATGTATGGCAGTTGCCCATCAATTCTGAGTCAGGTGAGATAGAAATTAGTTCCTTGGGTGTCTTCCATAAATCTAGAACGTTGGATATAAGTTCAACTCTTCTCTTTCCTTCCCCAAGCAGAAGCCATGTTTTACTTTTCCTTCTAATTGCAAGTTGTGCCAGTTTGGAATGCAGCTGATGTGGTTGAAATGTCACTCCTTCTCTTAGCCACGTGAACAACAAGTGGTTGATCTTGGTTTTGAGCTTGCTTGTGCTATGGTAGCTTTCTAACTGGTTTCTGAAGGTCTCCTAACAGCTTCTTGGACCATATATGTAAAGTTAGTGTGTCTGTGGAGAACAAGGCTGGGGCTTCCTATTCTGCCATCTTGCTGACACCACTTTCCACTAATTCTTTTTTATAGTTCTTATCTCTTAGCCTGTCTATACTGTTATATTTGAAGTAAGAACATTGTAGATAGCACATAGTTGGTCATGTTTTAAAATTCACTCTATCAATCTGTATATTTGAATGGGTGCATTTAGGCCATTTACATTTAATGTAATTATTGTTATGTTAGAGCTTAAGTCTGTCATTTGACATTTTTCTTTTCTCCTGTTCATTTTTTTCTTTCTTATTTCTTCCCTTCCTATTTGTTACTTGAATTATTTTAGTATTTCCATTTTTATGTGTCAATAATGTTTTAAAGTGTATCTCTAATTTGTAAGTGACTGCTTCAAGTATTACATTGTATATTCATAACTTTTCACAGTTTACCAGTGTCACCTTAATACCAGTTAAGAGAAATTATAAAGCTTTAACTCCCTTTATATCTTTTTACCCATCCCATTTATAATTGTGTTAAATATTCCCTCTATACACATTAAGAAACACATTATACAATATAACTATGATCTTCATTTCAACCATACAATATACTTCTAGAAATTCAAGAGAAGGAAAGCCTATTGCATGTATTGATACTTTTATTACTATATTCTTTTTTCCATATGCCAAGGTTCCTTCTTTTTAAAATTTCCTTTCTGTGTAGAGAATTTTGGTTAGCCACTTTTTAAGATTAGGTTTGACGTTGACAAATTCTCTCAGTTTTCTTCATCTGAAAATGTCTTGATTTCTCCTTAATTTCTGAAGGATATTTCCCTGAGTATAGGATTCAGAATTAATAGTTCTTTTCTTTCAGCACTTGCAAAATATTCATGTTTCCTTTTGGCCTCCAGAGTTTTTAATGAAAAATCTTCTGTCATTCAAATTGGGTAGACACTGTAGGTTAGTCATCATTCCTCTGTTGTGGCTTTTGAGGTTCTTAGTGTTTAGTGTTCAGAAGTTTGACCATGATGTATCTTAATATGGTTTTATTGGGGTTTGCTCAGTTTCTGCAACCTGTAGGTTCACATTTTTGGCTCAATTTGGCCAATTTTCAGCCATTATTTCCTTAATAGTTTTCAGTCTCCCCATCTTCTCTTTCTCCTCACTTGATTTCAGTTAACACAGAGGTGGGGGTAAGGAGTGGTAACTTCTAATTACTGTGGGCAGTGGTGGAAATTCTGTCTGCAATCACTCAGCATAATTGAATGTCCCAGCTTCCTACTGTGCTTTTTCTGATACTCTGAGGAAGTTGAATTACCTCTTTACAACCTGATGAGGGTGAAAGTCAAGGTTCCCTATTGGCCTTTGCTGGAATGAGTTGGTTTGGGACCACAGTTTTGTGTATGTGTGTGTGTGTGTGTGTGTGTGTGTGTGTGTGTGTGTGTGTGTGTGTGGTATTTTACTCATGTAGAGAGATTCTTTTCTAAAAGCTTTCTTTCTTGTTAGGTTTGTCCTTTCTTCATCCCTTGGCTAAAGAAAGCTAGCTTTTGTTGGGATTTTTTTGTCTGTGTCCATTCAGTTTCAGGTTACTAGCTTCTTTAGCATCAATTCTGGGACATATAAGGCAGAAAGAAAACCTAACTACTACCATGCCAATTTTGGGGACTTGGAGTTCCTAGCCAGCCTGACATAATCTCACATTTCCTAGTCATCTTATATTTGTCTTATATATAAAATCCAAGGTTTTTAGTTATTGTTAGTGCAAAGAATAGGGAAAAGTACATTTACTCTATCTTACCATTAGTAGATCCTTATTAACTTTTAAATCTCTTATTTATCTTTAGCTATGTCTCTCTTCCATTCCTAATATTAGAACATTAAGTAGGTTGCTATCCAAAGTAGTGGTATTTCTGATTCTGTAAGTTTTGAGACATATTTTAAACATGCACCTCATGTGGATACAGAGCAGTGATTCCCAGATTTGGCAGGAATAAAGAGATGTTAGTAAGGGTCTTTCTAAAGCTAATATATTATTATTTCCACATGAAGACTTCTCTGAATAGTATCTCAAGATTATTCCCTTTGACTTTCTCCTGGTAACATAATCTTTATTTACTTTTCTGTTATAATTCTATGTTTCCAATTGTTTGATTTTATCTTCTGTCAAGGTTGCAATCTTTGTATAGAAGCTACTTCTTATATTTTTTACTCAAATTGTTAGTCTGCATAGAGCACAATTATGGAAAAGTATCAAGACTCAGTAAACATCTTTTTTGCTGATGAACTGATAAGTCACAGAACACATCCTACTTACCCGGTAATAATAATTTCTGGATATGTTTGTGCTCCAAGATTCCAAGCTCCTCCACTGATTGGCCACTCCTAAATATATTATCCAGAAAGAATATATATGTTTTATTTATTTTTTAGTTTAAATGACTTAGAAATTTACAATGAAAATATTTTAAAACAATGATAAAAGTTTCACTGAACAATAAATAGCTGTAAAATAGTTAAGGATAATGTGAGCTATCTCTTAATTATTTATTGAACAAACACTTCTCTCTCTTTTTTTTTTTTTTTTTTTGAGTTGGAGTCTCACTCTGTCACCTAGGCTAGAGTGCAGTGGCATGCTCAGGCCATCACAGCCTCAACCTGCTGGACTCAGCCTTCCAAGTAGCTGGAACTACAGGCACACACTTCCACACCCAGCTTATTTTTTGATTTATCATAGAGAGGAGGTCTCAACAAGCTGCCCAGGCTGGTCTGAAACCCCTGAGCTCAGGCAATCCTCTCACCTCCACCTCCCAAGGTGCTTGGATTATAGGCTTCAGCTACCATGCCCGGTAAACAAACACTTCTAAATGTATAATTCTGTCTTCTTTAAAATATATTTTAACCAATATTATCATTTACATAAACAAATCATAGGAGTATTTTTTTTTTTTTTTTTGAGTCAGAGTCCCACTCTATCGTCCAGGCTGGAGAGCAGTGGCATGCTTCTGGCCACCACAGTTTCGACCCACTGGGATCTGGCAATCCTTCCGCCTCAGCCTTCCAAGTAGCAGGAACTACAGGCCCGCACTACTACACTCGGAGAATTTTTGATTTATTGTAGAGGTGAGGCCTCGCCAAGTTGCTGGCAGGTCGCAAACCTGTGGGCTCAGGAAATCCACTTGCCTCGGCCTCCCAAAGTGCTGGGATTACAGACTGAGCCACTGAGCCCGGCCAGGAGTATTTTAATTGTACAAATTCGTATTGCTACATATGTCACATAATATGTGTACTACCAAACTATTGTGGTGCCATTTCACATAGAATCTATGTAAATAGTACCACTTGGAATTTCCCCTGTCAACAGTCCCAGGAAAATAACAGAAATTATAATAGCTGGTCTGTTACAATTGGAAGAATTTGAGTACTGTAGTAAAATATAACAAAAAGGAGTCCTAAAATGGTATTTTCACAAATGACTTTGAATAATTATATCTTCTAAACCATTGATTAATAAATGATACACAGGAATAACTGACTCTTGATTTTCTTAAAACATAATTCTTCATCTAAAATAATTAAAGATTACATATTATGATCCAAATATATGTTAGTTGAAGTACATACTTAGTATGTAAATATACATGATAGATAAGTATATTTTAGTATACAATTACACATAAATTTATATTTATGTAGACTTAAAGCTAAGCAGCATTTAGGAAATTTAAATTTCAGAAGTTATCTCTTTAACAGATGTTCGTTTATGACTTCAAGAAACTTTGGTTCAAGTCCTCTTATGTGGAAGTTCAGAAACTAAAGTAACAGGAAAAAGTATGCTCATGGGAGACAAATACAAAAAAAAGTTATAGTTTTTACTATTACCTTATTACTGTATCCTTGTTTTTTATGCTTGACTCCTATGGAATATAGCACTAGAATCAGATCTGGAGGGCAATCAGCAAAGTATGCTGTGCATGTAACTGGTGATTCATGAATGTCCATGGGATACGGATTTTCAAAGATTGGAAAACTAATAAAGAAAATATATTAGTGTCATTTTGCAAACATAAGATATATAAAATAATTTGATAAAGTAATCCCTAAAGTGTTTCTAAATATTAATAATAAATTTTGCTTAATTTTTAAGCACCACAAAGCAGGGATCATATGAACAAGAATGTGCTTTTTAAAAGTTATCTATAAAATATAATATTGACATTGGTAGAATTTCACTCAAACTCAAAATTTACTTTCCATAATTCCAGTATTCTACAGTACCACTTTGCTAATATGGATACAATAAATTATCTTAATCTGAAAATATTATGCAACAAGGTAACTCATTTAGTAAAATTATGTTAACTAAGCACTTCATCTATGTACAACTATAAATATATAGCATACTTACAAACATTAAAATATCAGCACATTTGACATATTTTTCAAAGGGAACACTATGGTTTGACTCTTTGTCCCTTCCAAACTTCATTTTGAAATTTGACCCCCAGAGTTGGAGGTAGGGCCTCATGAGAGGTATTTGGGTTAAGGAGACAGACCACTTATGAATCAGTTAATGTCCACCCTTGGGGGTGAATGAGATCTCACTCAGTTCCCGTGAGAACCAGTTATTAAAAAAGCCTGGTGCCTCCCCCCTTCTCTAGCTTCTACTCTCACCATGTAATCCCTACACGTGCCAGCCCGCTCCCCTTTACCTTCCACCATAAATGGAAGTAGCCTGACGTATTCTCAGATACAGTTGCCTAATCTTGACATAACCATCAGAATTATGAGCCAAACAAAACTTTTTTCCTTTATAAATTACCCTAGCCTTGGGTATTCTATTATAGCAACACAAAAACAGACTAAGACAGAAAATGGTACCAAGGAGTGGGATGTTGCTAATAAAGATACCTGAAAAGGTGGAAGTGGCTTTGGAACTAGGTAAAGAGCAGTAGTTGGAGGAGTTTGGAGGGCTTAGAAGAAGATTTTAAAAAGATGAGGGAAAGTTTGTAATTTCTTAGCTATTGGTTAAGCAGTTGTGACCAAAATACTGATAGAAATATAAAGACCAAGCTGATGAGGTCTCAGAAATGAGAAACTTATTGAAAACTGGGGCGAAGGTTAAGAACTTGACTGCATTGTGTCTATGTCCTATGGCTTTGTGGAAGGCCAACCTTAAGAATGATGATCTAAGTTATCAGGCAGAAGAAATTTCTAAGCAGCAATGTGCTCAAGAAGTGACACAGTTACTTTTAACAGCTTATGCTAAATTTATGGTAGCAAAGAAATGACCTAAAAGAAGAATTTATAAGTAGAAGGGAAGCAAAGTATTAAACTTTGGAAAATTAAAGGTTGGTTCTCTTTCTACTAGTCTGAAATGTTGCTGATGGTATCTCAGATAGGAACAGTTATATGTGTAAAATCAGGTGGGAAGAAGCAAGTCATGTTATATAAATAACAAGTAAGTTAAATGAATGGATTAGAGATTATCTATTTCAGAGCAGAAATTATTAACATTTCTGAGATTAAAGAGTTAGAGGTAAGATAAGTGGATCATTTTGAAGACCAGACCTACAACTTGGGATTTGATAATAGAAAGGTACCAATGAGGCTCCTGACAAGCTAAACAATGTCATGAAAATGTTTTAAAAAATACTTTAGTATATTGGCAAAGAGTAGGCGAAAAGATACTAAAGAGAGAAATAATAAATAAAAGTTTACAGTAGGAACTTAGATGTAAAAGTGCAAACTGGTTGCTGTGAAAACAGAAATGAAGATATGAATTCCAGAAGTCAAAAAGAGAAAAAAATTATAAGTCCTAATGTTTGCCTCCATGCTAAGGACTAAATGAGAAATACAGAAAAAAATTTGAAAGTTCCAACTTGTTTAGTATTCAACATGGCTGAGGGGTAACTATTTGGAAGAAAAGAAATATATTCATTTCAAATACATGTCAAATTTCATGTAATAGCCAATGACTTGGGAATATCACACAGATTTTGATACATGCAGAAGAAAGTAAATGTTAGGTAAAAACTTTCAAACATAATGTTAATTCATATACATAAGGTAATGTAAAGCACAAGAATGAATGTATAAAATGGTAACTTTTATGTTATGCATATTAAACCACAATAAAATTAATGTTTAGTGAAAGAAAAAATATATTCTGAAGCAGCTGAGTGGTAAAGGTAAAGTATAGTGGGGCTTCAAAGATGATAGACAAATAGACAAGGTATGAGAAATCAACAAATATGATGTAGAAAGAAGAGTACCACTGAGATCAAAAGAGTACATTTTAATAAAACCTATATTATAACTTCTTAGAAAAAGAAGCATATATCCTTACATGTACACAAAATCTAGTCAAGTTTAATGTTGAAAAATAGGGCAGCTAGACAGAATTCACAATTACGACGATCTTATGGCCCAAATCCTACGTCCCCTTCATATACTAAAATATGATATACTGTGAAGTAGCACAAAGACTGATCATGGATCTTACATTTACAAACTAGAAGTCAGACTGTAATTTATTCAACAAAAATTGATTGAGAGCCTACTAGATGTGGTGACAGAGCCCTTACCTCATAGGCCTACAGTCTAGGAGGCAGACATTCTTTAAGCAACAACAAATGGAAAATTGCATCTGTATCAAAAGCTATGATGAGAAAAATGTGAGGGCTATGAGAGTCTATTCTAAGATGTTTAACTAAATTATACAGATAATGAAATTTGTTTTTAATGAGGAAGTGATATCTGGCTTGAAATTCTTACAGATAAGATGTTAATAAAGAAAAAAGAATTCTTTCAGGCAGAGGAGAGATAATTTATAAAATTCTGCTGCAAATATAATGGGCTAAAAGAAGATTGGTGGTTCTAGAATATATTATGAGGGAAATTAGTTTCATGCTATTGCCATTTATAATAAAAATGTATAGCAAGAAGACAGTGCCCATCAATTTTTAGTCTATTTTTACTGTCAAGGTAAAGAAGTGGAAAGTACCACTGTAATAGGAGTATTCTGTATTTGTTTCAATTGCCTGTAACATAATGAAAAATGAAAAAAAAGAGAAGAGAAAAATAAGTCCTCCATCTTCTCTGCCCTTGAGAGCCTGGCCTTCTGTATTGTCTGCTGTAGTAGTCCAATAACAATTTTATTATGTGTCATTTTCTGTTAGTAAATTTTCCTTTAGTCAATAGACTAGCAGGTGGCCATCTATTTTACTGTACACATTTTCATAACAACTGATTTTGCTTAAGGAAACAGCAGAAATGTGATCCATTTTATGTGTTCCAAGTCTCCAAATGCTTCTGTCCAAACATGAAGTGCTGCCCTTAAGGTGTGTTACAGTTTGCTCAGTATTACCAAACTCTCCTAGTTTAGTTTTCATCATTGAACCAAATTGCATTTCTGTAATTAATCTAGCAAAAAAAATTCACATTATCTAAAGAATACTAATGCCAGTTATCTAAAATTTGCTCTTGTATTTTTAACTGCAATGACTACAGTTTAAAGACTGTTAGTGTTACTCTGTTCATGGATAACTTACTTGCTTTGTGTCAGATCAACTACAATGAGATCTTTCTCCAGAAGTACTACGACAGCATAGGGTTCCTGAAATTCTACAAGCAAAAAAAAAAAAAAAAAAAAGAAAAGTTTTCATATTGTATATTTTATAATCACCAAAGTTGCATTTCCTTTATCTCTTGTACAAATGATTTAAGAAGACCAAAATATGAACCAAAGTAAATAAAATAACAAAGAGCACTTATAAAAATACATGTTGTGTTTCTCAAATTTAATGTCAAGACCACTACAGAGAACAAGAGAAAAAATGAGAAGGTGCATGGTACAGAATTAAAATATATCTCAGTAATCATGGGGTGGTGATAGTAGCAGATTATGTAAAGAGCGTGAATCTGTTACTTAATCTCACGAACATTTATCTTATTCTTCAATAATCTTACTATTTTACATCTGATTTCATGACTACAAGGAGAGGTACTGAAAAAACAGTAGCTCTATACCCCTATGAGAGCAATACTACTTATACTAAAAAGTTTATTTTTAACTCAATGTGATATAAAATATATTTACAGATTGTGTAATTGCACCAGACTAATCTGGTTCAACTTTTATGTACCAAAGTTGTGAGTTGTTTTTCAGTTGTCATTGACCTCCAAGTTGACAGTCACATGGTCTGAGCATGCCTGTATACACCAAAAATGCAACCGTGGGTGGAACCATGAGTGGAACATAAGTGCTGGGACTGAGGAAGGGGACTGACTTAAGAAGCAGACACAGCACTACAGGACCAGGATCCAATCAGATTAAGACTTGGCATCACCCTATTGCAAGAGCCAATCAGAACATGCCTTATTACCTTCTAACTATAAAACCCCCAGTCCTCTGCTCAGGGAGTAAGACTGAGAATATCCTCTTTCCTCCTTGCCAGTTGATTTACAAGAATCCTTTCTCACTCAAAAAACCCAGAACTTCAGTGTTTGGTTTTCCATTGCATACAGAAAATGAACCCACCTTGGTTCATTGCATACAGAAATGAACCCAGCAACAAAATTGGTGACTCAGACAGAAGGAAATCTTTTCTGGATGTTTTATCTGTGACTAACTGGCCTAATATTAGGATGCTCATGGGTCTGAGCAGCTACCTTGGTGTTTCACTTGATGATTTATTCTCAGTTTCTGTGTCTCTGGCATGGTGCTACTGACTTTTGGTGCATTTATTTATTTACTTATTAAATTTCATTACCTTTGGGAGATACACATAGTTTTTGGTCTGGGCTTTAAGAGTACCCACCAGCCCTACCTGTGCACACTGTACCCAATAGGTGATATTTTTTGTCACCCCACCTCTTCTTCTTCCCCTTTCTAAGTCTCCAGTGTCTGTTATGCTACCAGTCCCCAACCTTTTTGACCTCAGGGATCAGTTTCATGGAAGACAATTTTTTTACAGAGAGGGATGGGGGGGATTGGGAGGTGGGGTGATGGGGGAAAGGATTCTCCTAAGGAGTACACAACCTAGATCCCTTGTATGCACAGTTCAGAATAGGGTTCTCATTCCTATGAGACTCTAATACCAGGGCAGACAGTAGGCAGAGTTCTGCTTGCCAGTCTCTCACCTCTTGCTATGCAGTCTGGCTCCTAACAGGCCACAGACCAGTACCAGTCTGTGGTCCTGGGCTTAGAGAGCCCTGCATTATACCATCTCTATATCTTTGCATATCCTTGGTTTGGCTTCCACTTATAAGTGACAACATGTGGTATTTGTTTTACTATTCCTGAATTAGTTCACTTAGGATGATGTTCTCCAATTCCATCCAAGTTGCTGCAAAAGACATTTCATTCTTTTTGATAGCTGAATAGTATTCATGGTGTACATATACCACATTTTCATTATCCACTGACTGATTGATGGGAATTTAGATTGATTCCACATCCTTGCAATTGTGAATTTTGTTGCAGTGAACATGTTGGGGCAGGTGTCTTTTTCATATAACAATCTTTGTTCTTTTGGGTGGATACCTAGTAGTAGGATTGCTGGATCAAATGGTAGATCTATATTTAGTTGTTTGAGAAATCACCTTACCACTTTCCACAGAGGTTATACTAATTTACATTAATGCCAACAGTGTACAAGTGTTCCTTTTTCTCCACAACTGCGCCAACATCTATTGTTTTTTGATTTTTTAAATAATGGCCATTCTGACTGGTGTAAGGTGGCATCTCATTGTGGTTTTAATTTGCATTTTCCTGATGGTCAGTGATGTTGAGCATTTTTTCATGTGCTCATTGGTCATTTTGTATATCTTCTTTTAAGAGATATCTATTCATATCATTTGCCCACTTTTTCAATGGGGTTATTTGCTTTTTTTACTTGCTGATTTGTTTGAGTTCTTTGTAGATTCTGGATATTAGTCCTTTATCAGATGTATAGTTTGCAAATATCATCTTCCATTCTGTAGGTGGTGTATACACCCTGTTGATTATTTCTTTTGCTGTGCAGAAGTGTTTTCATTTAATTAGGTCCCACTTGTTTATTTTTGTCTTAGTTGTATTTAGTTGTTTTAGTCATAAATTCTTTACCTAGGCCAATGTCCAAAAGTTTTTCCTTGGTTCTCTTCTAGGATTTTTATAATGTCAGGTCTAACATTTAAGTATTCAATCCATCTTGAATTAATGTTTGTGTATGGGGAGAGATAGGGATCAAGTTTCATTTTTCTATATGTAGCTATCCAATTTTCTCAGCACTATTTGTTGAACATGGTGTCCCTTCAGTGTATGTTTTTGTGTGCTTTGTCAAAAATCAGTTGGTTGTATGTACTTGTGTTTATTTCTGGAGTCTCTATTCTGTTCCATTGGTCTATGTGTCTGCTCTTATATCAGTACCATGCTGTTTTGGTTACTACAGGCTTGTAGTATAGTTTGAAGTCAGGTAATGTGATGCCTCTAGCTTTGTTCCTTTTGCTTAGTATTGCTTTAGATATTCTGGCTCTTTTTTGGTTTCATATGAATTTTAGATTAGTTTTTTTCTTTCTTTATTTTGAAAGCAAGATTTATTGAGAGAACAGGAATATACTGGCTGTGGGCTTATATATGGCAGTTACTATCTTGAGGTATGTTCCATCTATACCTAGGTGTTTGAGAGTTTTTATCAAGAAGGGATATTGCATTTTATCAAAAGCATTTTCTGCATCTAATGAAATAATCACATGGTTCTTGTTTTTATATGTTTATGTATTTAATTACATTTATGGTCTTGCAGATATTGAACAAGTCCTACATCCTGTGAATGAAGTCTACTTGGTCATGGTGGATGATTTTTGAGATGTGTTGTTGGATCTGAATTTCTAGAATCATGTTGAGAATTTTTGTATCTATGTTTATTAGGGATATTGGCCTGTAGTTCTCTTTCTTTGTTGGATCTTTACCTGGCTAGGGTATCAGTGTGACGTTAGCTTAATAAAATGATTTGGGGGAGAATTCCATCTTCCCAATTGCCTGGGATACTTTCCATAGGATTGGTACTGGGCAACTCCCTTGGGTCTCCTCCCACTGTAGGAACTTTTCTGTCCTCTTAATGAATCCTTCTTTTAAAAAATAGGATCGGTATCAGCTCTTCCTTGTACATTTTGTAGAATTCCACTAGAAAGACATCTGGTCCAGGGCTTTTTTTTGTAGGTAGTTTTCTTATGATGGAGTCAGTTTCCTGGGCTGTTAGTGGTATATTTAGGGTCTCAATGTTTTCTTGTTTCAACCTTGAGAGGTCGTGTGATGTCAAAAGTCCTCCATTTCATTTAGGTTATCAATTTTTTTCCATACAGGTGTGCAGAGTAATCTCTGATAATCTTTTGTATTTCTTTGGGATCAATTGTGATTTGATGTTTAGCATTTCTGAATGTGTTTATTTGGGCTTTTCCTCTCTTTTTCTTGATCATTCTGGCCAGGGGGTTCAATCAATCTTGTTTATTCTTTCAAAGAACCAGCTTTTTGTTTTGTTGATTTTTTTTCTATTATATTTTTTTCTTCTATGTCCCATATTTGGTGATCTGGATTCTTTTGGTAAAGTTAGGGGTTTTGGTGGTCTTGTCTTTTAAGCTCCCTTGGGTGATTTGTTAGACTGGTGATCTTTCCATTTTCTTAATGTATGTTTATAGAGGTATAAATTCCCCTCTTAGAACTGCTTTCACAGTATTCCAGAAATTTTCGTAAGATATTTCTTTGTTTTCATTTGTTTCCAGGAATCTTTTAATTTCTATTTTGACATCTGTGTTGACCCAGTAGTCGTTCAGTATCATGCTGTTTGGTGTCCATGTCTTTGTGGGTTTTGGGGAAATTTTGTTGTGGTTAATATTTATTCCACTGTGGTATGAGAAGGTGCATGGCAGTATTTCAATCATATGAAATTTGTTCATGCTTAATTTATGGCCAAGAATGTGATACATCTTGGAGTATGTTCCATGTGGTGATGAGTAGAATGTATATTCTGTGGTTGTTGGGTGAAGTATTCTGAAGGTATCTATTAAGACCATTTGGTCAAGTGTCAAGTTGAGATTCTAATTCTCTTTGTTTATTTTTTGCCTCAGTGATCTATCTAAGATTGTTAGTAGGTGTATTTAAGTCCCCAGCTATAACAGTGTTAGGATCAATATCTTTTTTTAGTTTACTTATTAGTTCCTTTATAAATGCTGGTGCTCTTGTGTTGCATGCATATATATTTAGGACGGATATTTCTTGTTGCTGGATTGACCCTTTTATCATTACATAGGGTCCTTCCATATCTTTTTAAATTTTTGATCGCTTAAAGGTTGTTTTGTCTGATATTAAGATCGTGAGTCTTGTCTTTTAAGATCCATTAACCTGGAAATTCATTTTCTATCCTCTAACTTTTAGTCTGTGTGCATCCCTCATAGAGAGATGAGTATCCTGGATGCAACAAATTATTGGGTCATGGTTTTTTATCAAGTTTGCCATTCTGTGTCTTTTCAGTGGTGCATTTAGTTCATTCATGTGCAGGCTGATTAGTGAAATGTGATTGTTTATCCCCATCATTAGATTCCTATAAAGTTTGTTCTTAGTTTTTTTTGTTTTTTTTTTTTAGCTT